AAAAAAAAAAAAAAGAATCAACAATTAGCTGGGCCTGGTGGCTCATGCCTATAACTCTTCACACTTCAGGAGGCCAAGGTGGAAGGGCTGCTTGAGGTCAGGAATTCAAGACCACCCTCAGCAATAATGAAACTCCGTTTCTAACAAAGAGTAAAAAAATTAGCTGACAGAGGCTTATAGTCCCACCTATTCCAAAGGCTCAGGCAGAAGCAGGAGGATCACTTGGGCTCAGGAGTTTGAGGTTGCAGTGAGGTGTGATGATGCCACTGTACCCGAGCCCTGGCAATAGAGCAAGACTCTTGTCCCTCCCACCCCCACTTCCTCCCTTCACACAAAATCAACTATTTAGAGTAAGAACAAGGGAAAGAACCTCAGTTGTGTGAACTATGTTCATTATCTTGGAACCATGAAATTGAGTTGTGATTTGTAAACTGAATAGCAAATACATAAATTTATCTTGCAGAATTTCTTTTTTAGGCCTCCCCCTTGCTCAGGTTCAAGAAGACAGTGAAGAGGCTCGTTCAGCATCTTCTTTCTTAGCAGAAGTTTCCCAGTACACAAGTGGGTGAGTAGCAGTCCATTAGTCCAGTCTACTTCAGTAATTTAATAATTCCACATGTTGTTCAGTTGTTTGAACCATTTTAATTCCAATTGTTAAAAACCAGTTAAGAACTTTTAGTATGTGGCCTTCCCACAGGATAGGCTTACAGTGAAGAACACTTAATCTGATGATTTTACCTCGAAGTCGAAGGTAGTAGATTGGATTAACAACTACTCCTTTATTTTTTTCTGGGACTTAAAACAAATTTGGCACATCTTTACTCTTGTAAATTGTTTTGGGAGAGTAGGCAAAAGATGATAGAACTTTAACAAATCCTAGTAATTAGAATTTTCATAGAAGTAGAAAATAGGTTTATCCTTTTATAGCCATCCACAACAGTTGATGTGTTCAGTGCACTTGATTTCTAGCTGTTTTTAAAGCTATTATGAGTAATATGGGAAATGTATTTTTAAATGTAGTTATTATGTATTTGTACATATATTTTAGAAATAGGAGTGCTCTATTGAACTTCATCTGCTCCTAAATTCCCCTAGTTAGCATCTTTTTCAGCAGCCTTTTTTTTTTTTAAGTTAATAGACTTTCCTTTTTAGAGCCATTTTAGAAACATTCAGCAAAGTGTAAAGAGTTTCCATTTAATCTCTCCCCTCCTTCACTTTCCTCCATTAACATTTTGCATTAGAGTGGTACATTTGTTATAGGTGATAGACCAATATTGATACATTATTGTTAAAGCCTATAATTTACATTAGGATTCATTCTTTGTGGTAAACCATTGCAGTATCATATAGGATAGTTTCTTAGCCCTACAAATAAATACAAATAAATCACCAATCAATTTTAATACAAAAATCAGGGAAGTATTCATTTTTTGTAGCTAACTCAGTTGCTTTGGTTATTGTTAAGCTTTTTCCTTATTTCATTACAAAAATGTTTAATCTCAAAAAAAATTTTAGCAAGCTTTATGTTGAAGATTGTAATTTTTATTTATTTATTTATTTATTTATTTTTTTTTTTGAGACAGAGCCTCAAGCTGTCCCCCTGGGTAGAGTGCTGTGGCATTACAGCTCACAGCAACCTCCAACTCCTGGGCTCAAGCG